CTAATTGCCCTGTTAATCCCTAATCCACCATGAGTTGACATTGCGCTCATCTTGCTAATGAGCTGTTGTGAGCGTAACGAGATGATAAACATCAAAGGTGGGGAAGGCTTTGATCAAGTGTTCTGTAGAAGAGATTATGTCACTTGTTTAATGTTTATTTAGGATTAGCTACATCCCTTGATGCGACCAAGACCATACTTGAGGTTATCAGACAGTTTGTCTGGATACAGCCTGATGTCTCAACTGTACTTATTGGATTCTGCCTTGTAGCAAACTATATGTGTGACAAGGACTTTGACCACTCTGTGCAGATGCATAACAATGCATAATGAACTTGGGGTATGATTCAATTATGTCACACAAGTCAAAGATAGGTTCCACTGTATTTAGAAACAGGCGATAGATGCAATACTGTGTAACTTTATAACAATCAAATGATTTACAATTACCCTTGAAAAGTTCCCAAACCAAATAGAACTACTTAAATTATGATTACACTTGACCAATATATTTGGCAGTTTTTGCCGTTATTGTTAATCTGAATTAAAGATAGGATAAATGATAAAAATATGATAATGCATATCACACACAAGTGTGTATTATACGCAAATAAATAAGTCTTGTATACATTGATTAATTGGAAAGGGTCCTAATTGGGATTGTTCACTAGCCAATATATTAGCAAATATTCCCATGGGCGCTTATTAGAGCGAGGCGCTTATTACGTCAAATACTTTAGTTCTGTTTTTATGTATAAGAACCTATTTTATGCAATTTGCATTGCCTTGTTTACCTTTCCTTATGTTTTGATGTAATGCAAACATTTGAGAAAAATTCAGGTGAGCCTGCCTTATGGCACTACAGGAATTGTTTTCAGAAGATCAATTACAACTTTGTATTTTCTGTACAATTTACTGTTTGCTATGGCTTTTTTACATTGGTTAACATGGTTTGGTTAACAGTTGCTTGATAAATTGTCATTACCTTACTCATTGAGAAACCAAATTTTTACCCTTTGTCAATATATGTGTGTTTCTTATATTTTTGATAACAAGCTTTTAAAGATGTTATAAATTGTTTCAGGCACCTGGATTTCACAATGACACCAGATCAGACAAGTCATACAAAGGACTCTCCGGATGATGAATAATCCTCCCCAGAACAACTAACAGGTTCACCTCAGAAAGTGATGATTCTGAATGAATAATGCCACATCAGTGTGATTCTGTAGGTTGTTTTATTACGACATTAATCAAGTCTAAAGGAATCAATACCACAGCAGTGAGACTGTTTATGTGGTGTACACTGACGCTGACTATACAAATCTGAATGACTTTTGTGGTTTACTGCACAAACATAATTGACTTAAGATATTCTTCTACCTTGAAATTCTTCTGAGATTTGACTAATTTGTTTATTGAGAAAATGGCATTGAAGCATCTGTTTCTGTTTTTGAATGTTCTTGCAAACACCTCTGGTTACTGAACCAATGAAATGTCATAAAATCAATAAATATGATTTTTTATCTTAACAATTTTTTTGTTTTGCTTCTTTAAAGAAATATGATATTGATCATTCGTAACATAGGTGCTAACATATATCAAATATACTAATGCCCTGAATGTTTTCCTACAAATTAATACAGCTCACTGAACGAAGTTTTTAGTTCCATGTCAGTAGAAAAGTTACATTGATATTTTTATGTACCAGTACTTTATTAGGTGTTTTCTGTGGATGCCATTAGTCTTATGCACCCATTTGGGTTAATGATATTCTGTTTCGAACTTCAATGAAACTCGTCTGTCAAGATGTAACAAGTATTGATACAGTTCCAAAATAAACTTTTAATCTCACCAGGAACAAAGGCCCAAGTGAGCACATAGCCAATGACTTTCATTTTTTTGTCAGAGTGAGTATGGTGTTATGCCACTTTATGAGCAAAATTCAAACAATATTATGATGGGTGACACCAAGCAATGTACCGATGTGGTGAATCGAATGCTTCAACCACTAGGCTAAAACAAACTGGCAATATGAAGATGATATGTAAGGATACCATCATACCAGGACTGAATGCTTTTCATTTAATACGCTGAACATCTAAATTGAAATATATATGAACTTGAAAAATGTTTTCACCAAAAGTACATGCCCATAGATCTCAACTTCAAGGGGATATTTACAACTAAAATAGCACAGAATATTACTACAGCTATCTGCTATGCCCAGGCTAACATTATTTACTAGGAGAAAGACATCTCGAAAAATTGCCTCCGGATACCTGCCGGATACCTGCCGGATACCTTCAGCAATGTTCAATTTTCATGGTTAGTTTCCAATATATTTTTAGGTGTTTCACACTTAATTGAACAAAATGCACCCACCAAATTGTGACATGTTTTTGGAAACTCAGAATGAGGTATCCGGTGCCGGATCCCTGGACACCCAGATTGAGGTATCCGGTGAGGTATCCGGTGCCGGATACCCGGATTCCAGGTGACATACTTTCCGGTGAGGTGTCCATGCCGGATACCACAGATCTGGTATCCGGCAAGGTATCTGCCACCGGATACCCGGACGCGTTTTGGGTAAGTGTCCGGTGGTATCCGGCAGGTATCCGGATACCGGAAACTGCATTTTTTTTGCTGTGATACTGAGGTAGGCTGAGACTGTTCAACCGGGTAAAAGTATGTTAGAAGTGTGCATTATTGTAGGTATATTTTCCCACAGAGATTTCGGGCTAGTGAATGTCTGTTGATGGTGTTTCGCTCTATTAATCACTAGCGTTATTAAGGAGACTGCTCACGCTTCCATTCACAGGGCCAATGATGGCGCATAACTTGTCACATTACTTCTGACAGAGGAAAAAGTCCGACGGTCCACATCCTATTGAGGGGAATGTCAGACGGTCCACATCCTATAGAGGGGAATGTCAGGCGGTCCACGTCCTATAGAGGGGAATGTCAGACGGTCCACGTCCTATAGAGAAGAAAGTCAGACGGTCCACGTCCTATAGAGGGGACAGTCAGATGGTCCACGTCCTAAAGAGAGGAAAGTCAGATGGTCCATGTCTTATAGAGAGGAAAGTCAGATGGTCCACGTCCTATAGAGAGGAAAGTCAGACGGCCCACGACCTACAGAAGGGGAAGTCAGATGGTCCACGTCCTATAGAGAGTAAAGTCAGACGGTCCACGTCCTATAAAAGGGAAAGCCAGACGGTCCACGTCCTATTGAGAGGAAAGTCAGACGGTCCTAGTCCTATAGAGAGGAAAGTCAGATGGCCCACGTCCTATAGAAGGGAAAGTCAGACGTCCACGTCCTTAAGAGAGGAAAGTCAGACAGTCCACGTCCTATAGAGAGGAAAGTCAGACGGACCACGTCCTAAAGAAGTGAGAGTCAGATGGTCCACGTCCTATAGAGAGGAAAGTCAGACGGTCCACGTCCTATAGAAGGGAAAGCCAGACGGTCCACGTCCTATGGAGAGGAAAGTCAGACGGTCCTAGTCCTATAGAGAGGAAAGTCAGATGGCCCACGTCCTATAGAAGGGAAAGTCAGACGGTCCACGTCCTTAAGAGAGGAAAGTCAGACGGTCCACGTCCTATAGAGAGGAAAGTCAGACGGTCCACGTCCTATAGAAGGGAAAGCCAGACGGTCCACGTCCTATGGAGAGGAAAGTCAGACGGTCCTAGTCCTATAGAGAGGAAAGTCAGATGGCCCACGTCCTATAGAAGGGAAAGTCAGACGGTCCACGTCCTTAAGAGAGGAAAGTCAGACGGTCCACGTCCTATAAAAGGGAAAGCCAGACGGTCCACGTCCTATAGAGAGGAAAGTCAGACGGACCACGTCCTAAAGAAGTGAGAGTCAGATGGTCCACGTCCTATAGAGAGGAAAGTCAGACGGTCCACGTCCTATAGAAGGGAAAGCCAGACGGTCCACGTCCTATAGAGAGGAAAGTCAGACGGACCACGTCCTAAAGAAGTGAGAGTCAGATGGTCCACGTCCTATAGAGAGGAAAGTCAGACGGTCCACGTCCTATAGAGAGGAAAGTCAGATGGCCCACGTCCTATAGAAGGGAAAGTCAGACGGTCCACGTCCTATAGAGAGGAAAGTCAGACGGTCCACGTCCTATAGAGAGGAAAGTCAGACGGACCACGTCCTAAAGAAGTGAGAGTCAGATGGTCCACGTCCTATAGAGAGGAAAGTCAGACGATCCGCGTCCTATAGAAGGGAAAGCCAGACGGTCCACGTCCTATGGAGAGGAAAGTCAGACGGTCCACGTCCTATAGAGAGGAAAGTCAGATGGCCCACGTCCTATAGAAGGGAAAGTCAGACGGTCCACGTCCTATAGAGAGGAAAGTCAGACGGTCCACGTCCTATAGAGAGGAAAGTCAGACGGACCACGTCCTATAGAAGGTAAAGTCAGATGGTCCACGTCCTATAGAGAGTAAAGTCAGATGGTCCACGTCCTATAGAAGGGAAAGTCAGACGGGCCTAGTCCTATAGAGAGGAAAGACAGATGGCCCACGTCCTATAGAAGGGAAAGTCAGACGGTCCACGTCCTAAAGAGAGGAAAGACAGATGGCCCACGTCCTATAGAAGGGATAGTCAGACGGACCACGTCTTGAAGAAGTGAAAGTCAGATGGTCCACGTCCTATAGAGAGGAAAGTCAGACGGTCCACGTCCTATGGAGAGGAAAGTCAGACGGTCCACGTCCTATTGAGAGGAAAGTCAGATGAAAGGCTGCTGTCTGGTGTCGACGGGTTCTAAGCATGGTAGTGTCAAACCTCCCCATCACGGCACGGCGATCAGAGGAAATGTCAGCAAGCTGCTGGATACTGAGGTAGGCTGAGACTGTTCAACCGGGTAAAAGTATGTTAGAAGTGTGCATTATTGTAGGTATATTTTCCCACAGAGATTTCGGGCTAGTGAATGTCTGTTGGTGGTGTTTCGCTCTATTAATCACTAACATTATTAAGGAGACTGCTCACGCTTCCATTCACAGGGCCAGTGATGGCGCATAACTTGTCACATTACTTCTGACAGAGGAAAAAGTCCGACGGTCCACATCCTATTGAGGGGAATGTCAGACGGTCCACATCCTATAGAGGGGAATGTCAGGCGGTCCACGTCCTATAGAGGGGAATGTCAGACGGTCCACGTCCTATAGAGGAGAAAGTCAGACGGTCCACGTCCTATAGAAGGGAAAGTCAGACGGTCCACGTCCTATAGAGAGGAAAGTCAGACGGTCCACGTCCTATAGAGAGGACAGTCAGACGGACCACGTCCTATAGAAGGTAAAGTCAGATGGTCCACGTCCTACAGAGAGGAAAGTCAGACGGTCCACGTCCTATAGAGAGGAAAGTCAGACGGTCCACGTCCAAAAGAGGGGAAAGTCAGACGGTCCAGGTCTTATAGAGGGGAAAGTTAGACGGTACACGTCCTATAGAGTGGAAAGTTAACGGGCGACATGCTATAAAGGTGTCGTGATTTTAGTGTATCGCACAAATACTTGCATTACATATACTACCTATTGTGTGCGAGAAGGCCACGTCGTCTCTGATGCAGAACCGAACGTAACTGAGAGATAGTGAAGAGACTGTTTGTGTCTAACACACTGATAAGGGATGCCCTGCTGTTGTCAGAAGGGATACAGTGCTGTTGTCTAAGTGGATGCTGTTTGTGCTGTCGAAAAGTATACACTTCTGTTGCCAACAGTGAGCGGTGAAACACTTGTGGCTTCTTTATGGATATTCCGCTATTGTCTATGGAAATGGTCTGATGTTGTTTAAAGGAATATTCTGTTGTCGTTGACAGGATATAGAGGAAAACACACGGCAGGTAAGTGTGTGATGTGCTGCAGGTTGAATAGGATAGGATAACGAGTTTATGTTCAGGAAGTAGTGATATGTAAAAGACGACACATTCAAAGATGGGACTTGCTATATGTTAAAGGCGGGGCGAGCGACAAGCTATAGTTGGGATGATGGGATGGGCGACATGCTAGGAAAGGTGCGTTTATGAGGCGGGACAGGATGACTCCTTAATGGAAAACAGAACACGCCGTCATTTAAATCGACCCAGTTTCATCTTTGTGGAGTGAAGACATTGATATGCATACATTGGGTGGCCTAGCGTACAATACACCGGTTGTGTACACATGACTACAATCAGCGTGTAGAGATTTCCAAATAACCCGCACGACTCAATCCCGCTGTGAGACGATCTAATGTCACCATTTTACTTCCTTGTTGCGGGTTGAGCTCGTATTGCATAGTCCTATTTATCATCCTTCTTAAGGGCCGCGGAACTACAGAACCGGGCCCTTGATGAGTGTTGGTAAAATTCCAAAAACATTACGTGCACATATGTCATGCTTCACTTGCCGTAAGTGTCTTGATAAGAGGGAACTCCTTAATGTGGGTACAGTTTACAAACAGGTGGACATAATGATTGTTTTGCATGTTTAATTTGCTAAACAAAGGTTGCTGACGTCTGTGATATTGGTCAGTTGGGGATATAGGACTTGTGTTTCGTATTTAAACTGTTCAACTGTTTCAGTAATGAACTTATCAAAAGAAACTAAGACTCTCACCAGTTCAAGATTCAGGACCGTCCAATTTATCTCCTATCCGAAAGAACACTCTAATCCGCTAATTTAACTAAATCTGGTGAAAAATAAAATGTGTCGCCAGATGAGAACATTCCTAACATAAAGGTGATTAAGTGAGTGAATGTTGTTCAGCGCCGTAGTCAGTGATACTCTAACCATATCTGACCTGAACAGAAACAACAGTGATTGAAAACAAGAGGACTGATCCGCACCATCCGTAGTCAAAACATGAAGGAAACACACCACCTAAACCCCTATTTAATAAGCCATGCATTCTGTTACGACAGAAGTGGCACATGTCGTCATAAAGTTTGGATGTTGCAATTCTGAAATGTCAACATTGAAAGTCGTAATGCATTCCTCTCATGAAGAGCTGTTAATGTTAATATCCAATCTGCATTGTACTATGGGCTTTGGTGCCTAAATGGCAGAAGAAACTCTCAGTCTGTTTCAGAAGGCGTATCCCAAGGTTTTTGTTAAATGGCAAGCATTATATTTGCATAAAGAGCAAAGTGAATATTATTTTATGGAGTGCATCCTTGAATCATTTTGAAATTTGCCCCCCCCCCCCCCCCCCCCCCCCGCGATAAAGCACGTTCCATTTTGTTTATCAGGGTCATTGTGTAATAGAAGGGCTTGTCAGTTAGAGCGTACCGTGTGGAGGTCGAATTTGCGTAAATGTTTAACTGTTTAATAACATGCAGACTAATTCTTTGTATTATTAGCAGAAGTTGATTCCTGCAGTGGACCAACGGAACCATGGATAGAAAATATGTCATAGTAATTGCTGTATGTGTGACTGTGATAGTCGTCATCATCGTCATCGTCGTTGTCGTCGTGGCTCTGTTAATCAGACGTCGGAGGCAGGGTGTTCGTAAGTACTGACTATATGTACTGGTTGTAGGACTTATATTGTATACCCAAAGCACACGACCTCACAAAACTAAACCCTACAAGAAAACCTACTGTGCTTTGACTTTGTAGTCACCATAGAATCAATATTTATAATTTAGCACCGAAAACTTTTGCACGAGGTTTCAATTTAAAATACGATGGTATCGATTCTACAGCGAGACGACCTAAAATTTTACCCACAGGAAGTTAATCGCCATTATACAATGACTTAGAACGCTTTATACCGTGTTTTGACACGTTAGATTACACATAGGTACATCGTTCCGCTATCCTACTGTGGCAATTATTACAGAGGTCCACATTAAAATATATATATTCTTAACTTCTTCATAATATACAATGTGTGAAGCCCATTTCTGGTGTCCCCCGCCGTGATATTGATGGAATATTGCTAAAAGCGGCGTAAAACCGTACTCACTCACTCACTCTTCATAATAACGCTTGTAAACACATACATGTTGTTTGACCCTGCAAAGATGTTTTAATTTCATCGCAACCTGTTGCATACCTCCATTGCATCATGTGCCTGGACCCAACTAAGTGGTTTCTTGGAAATCAATATTGTATAATTATTCAATTAAGTAAGGATAAGAATTTATGGATGAACAACTTCTTTATTGCAATTTAGAGCGACGTTTCGATGTAGGTTCTAACACCGTTAGCACTTGTTTGATAACGGCGTTAGAACCTACACTGAAACGTCGATCGTAATAAAGAAGTTGTTCATCCATAAATTCTTATCCTTACTTGGTACTCCAACTTCTAAATGCCTATCAAAGAAGTAATTATTCACTTTATTTCAAATGAAGAAAAAACGCTAAAAAAAAATATTCCTCAACACACTCTATTATGAACATATTCTGTTATTTATTTCACATTTGTATGTCTTATTAGTGACCCCTTTTAAATAATAGTTATTCAAAGTAACTACCTCTCCACTCCGAACTTGAGGCGTCTGAGCTTGGCTTACGTCGCGGTTACTCGTCACAACTATCAGTAGCTGCCAAAGTAATTGTTGACAGTCTCTGTCCCGCTGACAAGCTGCAGGGAGCCAGACAACCCCGATCTATGATGTTGCTCAACACTGACCTATAGTTTTACAGAGAATGAGCCTGATGGTCCAACGTGATTGGCAATGGTAGCACCTTGACTGACTGACGACTACCGTTTTTAGGCCCAAGCAGTATGACATGAAGGATTCTTTACTTTTGTGTTGTGACAGTTTCATGATTTAACTGTATTCAACGCCGGCATGAGAAAAACGTGTGACTTCGAGCTAATGTTATAGTGGGTTACGACCACTGTTTAAGTGAACAATAAAAGAGAGTTAGTTAGTGTGTATGGCTTAACGTAGATGTTAGCAATATTCCAGCAATATCATGGCGGACACCAGAAATGGGCCTCACACATTGAACCCTTTTCGGGAATCAAACCCAGGTCTTCGGCGGGACAAGTGAACGCTTTAACCACTTGGCCACCCGACCGCCACTAAAGCAAAATGAAGAGCTGTTAAGTGTGTCAGCAAGCATGGTTTTACGCTGCTTTTAGCAATATTCCAGCAATATTCCAGAAATATCACGGCGGGGGACACTACACATGAACTTCACACATGGGGAATATTTATAACTCCTGCCATTAATAATTGGTTTGCTGATAGTATTTCCTTCTCTCAGGCAACAACAATCCCTTCCCCTTCAGATTGTTGTATTTGATAAAAAGATAGATGCCCTTGACATATTATAATGAAACAGGTATGAAAGTAAATCTCGAAAAATATAGTCATATTATTTAGACAAGGTGTTCTACTTCGCTCTTATGAGAAATGGTATGTAAGGGTAAAATTATTGAATCATGGTACAGACACTAAGGCTTAGTGCTTAGAGCTCAATCTTGTTCAGCGTCACAGCACAAAGAGGAAGATTTATCTTTAAATTGTTTTCAAAGGAGATGTGGCGATATCCACTATTCTGATTTGTGTAACCTATTTCATAACTCCAATTCCATTCTAGGATTTAATAATCGGGAACCTCCAATTGTACAAATAAGCTTGTGTAAATATCCCTGAGCCTTGAATCCTGGGTGAATGTGGAAGATTCCCCTTGCAACATATTGAAATGACACGGGTCATGAATATTGGAGTCGGGTTTCCACATAATTATAACATAACTCGGTTAGGACTCGGGAAGAGACTGCATATATACGAGTATCATACGAGTATGCTACGAGTGTGTTACGAGCCCCATAGGAAAAGCATATTCCGAATACAGACCAGAGGACATCATTAAAGAAAGATTCCTACTTTATATATGTATCAGGCAATGATAGAATTATCAATTGACTGACGTTATATAACAAGCCAATTCCTTCTCCAGGTTTACAACGACCACGACCACAGAGCTCAGTTCCTTTCTCACTTGAACATAGTAAGTATGAATTAATATGTCTTTTGCTTTTTGTGATTAACAAATATTTTCATTTGCAAACATAAGTGGTAAGACTCAGACTCAGACTCAGACTCAGTGAGTGAGTGAGTGAGTGAGCGAGCGAGATTTTACGCCGTTTCTAGCAATATTCCAGCAATATCACGACGGGGGGCACTAGAAATCGGTTTCACACATGGTACCTGTGTCAATAATCGAACCCTGGTCTTCGGCGTGACGAGCGAACGCTTCAACCACAAGGCTACCCGACTGCCCTTGAGAAATAGTAAGAAAACAACGTGATAATATTGATTGATATTATGTGAAGCTCTTCTGATTGTAATGAGCGAATGCTCTGTTTTTTCCAGAAAATGTTTCCTTTGGTGAACTCAGCCGCGATGCCATCGTGCCGGGATCAGGTACGTGGTTATATCACAGTTTAGATGTCATCTGAAGCACTTCACATAGTTTGGACGCCTGAAGATGTTTACACAGCTCATATTTCATATAAAATATTCATGCCCCTGAGATCTCATCTAAAGTTGTTGACACAGCTGAATTCTCACCTAAAACATTCATACTGCTGAGATCACATCTAAAGTTGTTAACACGGCTGATATCTCATCTAGTGATAGAATTCGTCTAAAATTGAGATCACAGTTGAGATCACGCTTCAAGTCGTTCACATAGATTTTACATTCAAACAATGTCTAGTACACAGGGAATACGCGTGATCTTAACGTTGTCAGACAAGTAGGTCTCTTCTACTGCCGATACGTACCTGATTAGAATGTGTGACAACTTTGCATGACTCGATTATTGAAAGACCCGGTGTAGTAGGTTCAAACCACTCCCCCGAAATTTGTCTAGGCTCAAATGACTCCCCTAGCTAGCCTCAAAACACTCTCTCTAGGCTCAGCTAACTCCCCCAACTGGGCCCAAATGACTCCCTTGTTTTTCATTAAAATGATTACAAAAAAGATTAAACATATCTTGTATTATAAAGGTTTTTAACCCCTCTTCCTCATTTTCTATTCTGAAATGTCGGGTTAAGAACAATCCCCAATATTGTTTGTCAGATGTTTCAGTACCAGTTATTTTATCACAATTTTATATTCAACTTTATTTGGAAAAACTCCAGGTTCCTCTCTGAAATCGCTATAATATTCTTAACCTATAATGAATACTCCCGGCGTTAAAGCTTTGACGATAAAACGCCAACTTTCATTGCGGCCGTAGGTTTCTTGATAGCTTACATAGTGGAGCATAATTATTAACACAAGGGCTACGACACTCTTTACAGGCCATTAGTCATTCCGATGAACACCGTATAATAACACACCACCTTTCTGTTACAGGAATAGACGACTTGGAGCTGACAGGCGTGACCAACAGCCCGACAGGGGAGGCAATCAAAGGTAATATGATTTATCATACCTCCATGTCAGAATGATGAGATCTGATTGGTCAACGTGATCTTGTTAAAATGTGTATCCCGCCTTGGAGGGAAATAAATTTCTCATCGGGAGAATAAATGCCTTATACCCCGCCACGAGCCAAACAGGCTGCACGTGAATTTCTGAGAGGCAGAACAAATCCTTCATACCCTGCTTTGAAGCAAAAAGTCGCATGCTTTTTTCGCGTCAATGTCAATATGGCACAAGTTAACATCAGCTGTTTTCTATCAATTATGAATTTGTTTTAATTCGTTTAGAATGTCATATAAAACATGTCGGTAAGATACATTCGTTGCAGCAGGATCAAGAGGGGTCCTATGTGTTTTCTGCGTCCTGCGTCAGGTTTTATGACATTGTGACATAATATTGACATTGCCCCCGGCTCGTGGTATAAAATCAAACGCGGATCAGTTGAAATAATATAGAATGTTGGCAAAGTACATCAAAATGTTAAAAACTCTTAATGCAGACGAGTAAGCACCATTAACCCTGTACGGTTGACATGACGGGTCATACCTGATCCCCAGTAACCAATCCAGCATACATCCAGCAGTATAAATAGCAAATGGCCGGGACAAAAATATGTTCATTATATCCATCAGTTCGTTATAGGCGTGTTCGTTACAAATGTATTTTACTGTATTTTCTTTTGCCCCGGCAGTATTTATTTGCCTCGGGTTTTGCCGCCATAAATTATCGGCTGAACGTGCTAGCTGTGCTGAAAGACATTTTTCCTGTTTAAAGTAAGTCTGTTCGGTTTGTATGTTTTGAAGCTGTGACTTCCTATCCCGTATTTAACAATATGCCCCGGCCCAGAATATGATGTTGGGTCCATTAATTAAACCTGCTACATTAAAATGACTGAATGTCCCTCTCTGTTGTCAGCTGTGTGTCCCCCGACACCTCCAGTTGGTGGAGCCGCTCCCCCGCGTCTCGATCCCATATAACGCCGGGGTAATCTCACCACCAGCATCCACTGCACAGCACCTGCACCATCAGCTACATCAGGAAGTCAGAAATTGTCACCAGTCTACAAAAAACTGCACCCATGGTACTTGTTTTAATTCACGTCACAGGACAACTGCTTGGAGGTAATAGGTGAAGGCTCCTTAAGATCAGACACCTTGGATATGACACGATTTGACGACAACTGTCACAGTGTATTGTCAACAAATTGTATATGTGTCGCAGTGTATTGTCACAAAGGCAAAGTCAGGTGTGAGGAGTCATTTTCATCAATGGAAGTAGGTAGGAGAAGTACAACACAACAGTGTGGATGCTGTTATATGGCAGTGTATTTTATTGTAATAAACAATGATTATAACTGTATTACATTGTTTCTGTTGAGTTTCCCTAGAAGCTCACTGCATTGTATTTGGACAATGATTAGTTGTCAGGAATGTAGGACTGTTTAATGTAAGCAGTTTTGAGGAAGTTAATATATTTATATGCTTGTGTGATGTTTTAACTTCCGGAAAACTGTGGACTGAGAAGCATGTGGAATATTCTGATGTGATGGCACTGTGTGGAAAGGTGCAGTAATTTGCATTGATTTGTAAACCTAGTTTATTTTGTAATACGTTTGTTGATCGTATCCACTTGTTGGTTGTTTGTTGATTTCACACTAATTTCTTTTACGTACATATTTCTGGGTTGACATATTGTTTCAATTTGGGAATCGACACGCTACAATGCCATAAGATTTGACGTCAACAATGTATATCGTGTGTATGACTATATGCAGGTCTTCCTTTTAGGTTGACGTAATTGATGTATACATACGTAGTGCCCATAAAGAATAAACCGATAATGGGAGATGATAATGGGATACAAGAGGAAAGGCTACAATACACCAAAGGATGTTGTCGAGTTACAATAAGGGATGTGCCGATGTGGTTCTGTAGTATCTAATTGGTGTATCCTACACAGGTCTGTACAAATGCAGCTTATACAATTTAAAAAATGAGTGTTTTTTGTGTATACATAATCAGCAATTTTCCTTCTGTATCACGATGGCCTGTTATTACATCAAGTCAAGACAAACCAGTGATTGATATCATGAGGAACGTCCAACGCCGTCGGGTATCATCACACGCAATCGACCAGTCCAGTCCAGTCCATCCGGCTAACATTTAGTCGACTCATACAAAAAAAACAATAGACTGCTGGGGCCCTAATAGAAACCTTGTGACCAAATACCTTCTTCAAGTTAGTACAAACGCACAGATACAGTATTATGAGGATCATATCACAAATATTCAGAAAAAGCTGTGCATTACACATATTAATACAACATGTGCTGTTTCCATTTGTTTCTCCAGTGAGGAATGAAATACAGTTCATATACTCTGCAAAGAAAGAAACGCAAAATTAAAAACAAAACGTAAAATTTTGTCAGAGTGTTGCTGATTTTTACAAAATAATATAAAAAATGAATGTGTACATTTCTGCATGGATTGGGATTGATTTGTGTGGAAATTTGTGTGGAATGAGGTACTGCAGACATTTGGTGACAAGATGGAAAAACGCAATCACGTGAGAGCCTGTGAGCCACATGAAACACACCAATATGACATGCACGTTCAACGTCACTTGTTTGTAATAAAATCGTTGGAATGCATAACATATCAACCCAGACCGAGGAACCGTTTACGCGCTGATGGTATTCACGCTAGACAGCCAGTTCGGGTGTCATTTTGACGGAGTTGCATCGTCGACTGCGACGTCAAGGTGCAATGGAGACACATTTGATGTTTTATGCTTCGCCGTGTGGATTGTAGGCGTCGTGTTTACACGGGGGACGTTATACACGAAACTGCACACAGGAAGTGGACAGATTTGGTGGTGGAAGTGTGTCGATGTGGGCAACCATCTCCTGCTCTGGTAGAACAGACTTGGTTTAAGTTCCTGGGAACTTAACAGAACAGCGTTACACGGATGAGATTCTCCGACCACACAACACTTTCAAACATGACAACGCCTTACCTCACAGCAGTCAGCAAGACTGACAACAGCCTTCCGTAGGAATACCAACATCCAGATCCTGCAAAGGCCCTCTCATCTTCCCGAGTCATGGGAGTTAACTGACTATAAAAGTCCAGTTTCCACCCTGGCCGAAGTAGGCTGGTATTATGGAGTTTCATTTTGGCTGGACTAACGAGTCTATGCATAGTCCAATCAAAATCGTGCACCGAAATCGAAATCCGGTCGACTGCAGGATTTGCAAAGCATGTGCACCGGTAACTCGTTGTCAACAGATATTTTCTAAATCTTTTAATCAAGGTGCTCACGCGATGTCAGACTCGTTTTATCACAATATAGATCCTGATTATCGATGAGATCGTCTTGACTGGGCGCCACCGTTTTGTTTGAAACAAATGCAAGTGATACGAGAGGTTGAATCTGATTGGTCAATAGGAGAGGCATAGAAAGAACATAACTCGTAACAGCCACTGGTGGCGCTAGGATCGAGCCCAGGAATCCCAGCCTAGCTCGGCAAGGGTGGAAACTGGACTTTTAAAGTCAGTTAACTCTCTTGCCTCGGGAAGATGGGAAGATTTCAGAAATTCCATTCCAGGTCTCCAGATTTAAACCCAGTGGAACATTTATGAGATGCACTGGATCCACGACTGCGAGCACGGCAGCAACACCCACAGACCATCCAACAGTCAGTTCCCCAGGCCACAATTCGGTAACTGATTTCTTCCATGGGACGACGATGCCGGTCAGTTTGGACTCTAATGGTGGCCATATACGACATGTAGAACAGATGAACTTGAACATCTACTGTTCCATTTCTTCTATATGGACCATGGGTCAATAACAATGATATGTGCCAATTTTGAACAATCGCGATCGATTACAATCTGTTGATTTTTAAATGATGCATCAAATATAAAACTTCATCATCGGTATAGTCACTCGTTTCAGAGGTGCTACTCTTGATTTCCCCATGACGAAGGAGACATGAATTTCATTTCTTGAGTTGATTAGTTGTAGATAGGTAACTACTCCATAACCATGATCAGTGGCGTCGGAAACCATATGAAGTGGACAGGTGACGACCGATCCAAACTCTTCTCTCTTGAAACATCTGGGTAGTTTTATGTTGTTGAGATGTGATAAACCATTCAACCACTTTCGCCATATCTTCTTGTCATCTCCAGATATTTCCTGGTCCCATTCTACATCGTCTCTACACAGTTTCTGCAGCAGGATCTTTGCAACTAGGACATATGGTGACACATATCATATACAGTCATATACTGAGCAGACCATGGAGAGTATTCCTCTTCTAGGAGGTGGTTTGTCTTTCACTTTAGTGTTGTTTTGAAAACAGTTTTTCTCTACTGACCATGTCACACCAAGAGCTCTTTCGACAGGGAGTTGATCAAATTTCAGGTCGATAGATTTAAGACTCTTTCCTCCCGCATTAGTTTGTATGCTCTCAACGACAGTGTGTCTGTTACTAATCCATTCGGTAACAGGGAAACCTCCCTTGTACACAGTTCAATCACATCAGTTACAAGAGATTTAGCTATGTCTTCATTCTCAAATGATTTCAGCAGGTCATCTACGTAGAAGGTCTGAGGATGACATCGGTTTTGAGAGGTTTGAACATTTCTCTGTTATTTTCTGCAGTTTGGCGAAGAGCAGCTGTCGAACAACTGGGCGATGATACTCCTCCGAACAAGTGCACACACATGAGATATACTGCAGGTTCTGATTGAAGATTTCCATTTGGCCACCAGTAGAACCGGTGGAAGTCTCTGTCATCTCGTGGGACTCGTACCTGATAGAACATAGATTCTATATCAGCCATTAGGGCAACAGGCTCTTGTTTGAAGCGCAGTAATACACCGATGAGGCTGTTGGTTAAGTCAGGGCCTTGAATCAGTAGATTGTTGAGTGCTGTTCCTTGATGTGTAGCTGCACAATCAAACACCACTCGGATCTTGTCTGGTTTGTGAGGGTGATACACACCATGATGAGGAATGAACCACACCTTTCCATCGTCACGTTTCAGTTCATCATCAGACACCTTTTCAGCATAGTTCTTTTCCAGGATGTTATTCATGAAGTCTTTGTAGTCACTGAGAAATCCATCATTTCTCTTCATCTTCTGTTTCAGATTCATCAGTCTCTTATAGGCTTGGTAGTGATTGTCTGGGAGGCAGACTGAGTCACTCTTGAATGGAAGGGGTATTGTGTAATGTCCATCATTTAGTGTTATACTCTCCTTTGACCTTCTCCATAAATCTGATATCATTGTGAGATGGCTGGCGTTTGTCATCGATGACTCGTTCTGGGAAGTCATAGTTGATTGACTGTTGGACAAGCTGACCAAGTTTCTTCAACTCTTCTATTCCCTTTATAGAAGTAATATCAGCTCTGTTGACAGTGAAGCTGTTCTGTACATCTGTATGTCTCACCACATTTAACACTACCCATCCCAGTCTGGTGAAAATTGAATGTGGACTTCCTTGAGGTCCCGTCTTCACATGCAGAGGAGAATAGGCATCTCGAACGTTGTTGCCTATTAGTATACCTATCTCAGAGTCAATCTGAGGAAGGGAAACACCTCTCAAGTGTGGCCATCCAGCGATATCGGTTTTGGTTGGAATATGCTAATGCAACACTGGCATTCTATCTTTTGTGTAGAGCTTGGGCAACTGTACAAAGTTCTGTCCTGTCAGATCACTTACTTCCAGGTGGTTGATGCTGTAGGTTATCATAGAGTGTGGATGTCCCATGGTCTCCAGAGTTATCTTTAATCTTTTACCCTCCCATCCTAACTTCCGTTTTAAGCTGTCAGTGATGAAGGAAATGCTGCTTCCAGGATCAAGAAAGGCGTAGGTTCTGATAGCGTGACTACTTCCTTTCCTTCTCAGTATCACAGGAATTATTGCCATGGTACATTCTTCCTCTCCAGCTCCAATACAACCCACTGTGTTGGAACTACTTTCCTTGCTTGTTCTCTGTCGATCATGTCTACTGTCACGTTGAGCCTTAGACTTGCTGCGGTTGAAATGTAGGACTGTTTGATGTCTGAGACCACAGTTTTTGCAGTAACTGGTTGCATTGCAGTCCAAACTTTTGTGTCCATAGTGTAGACATCGGAAACATTGTCCCTTTGTCCTTAGATACTGTAGCTTGTCATCATGTTCCATTCCTTGCCACTGTTTGCACTATTCAAGTCCATGACCCTCATCCATGAGTAGATACATGGAGATAGTGGAGCCTAGACTTTGCTTGGTGTCCTTGTGGGTCTAGTTTCACTACTCCTTTGTTGATCATCCTGAGACAGATTTGTAGACATGACCTTTGGCTTTGACTTGAACCCTTTATCTGGTGTCGTTGACATTTCACTGAAGGCTTTTCTACCGTAGACTGGATCATTTTCCTCTTTTGACTCTCTTATAACGAAGAATGGTTCTACCTTGAGCCTTGATGTTCTGTACAATGTTGCTCCATCTATCGTGATAGTGATATGGCAGCTTTATTACGAGTTTTCTCATGTTGTCTGGGTAATAAAGAATCTTCATGGAATGTATGCTCTTTATTGCATTTTCACATTCTGTGAGGAAACGTGCAAACTGGTCCAGTGCCTTTGGATTGTCCAGTTTGATCAATGGCCAGTTGATTGCTCGCGTGATAAATGCGGGAGCAATGATGTCTGGATTACCATAGCGTTCTTCAAACTCATTCATGATTGCCTGATATGCGTGATATCCATCCAGATAACTGTAACCCACTACATTCCTATTGGCCTCATCCTTCGTGTATTGGTCCAAATAGTTAACTATTTCTTCAGGATCCTCAGTGTTGGTAAGGACATTACTTCTGAACTGTCAAGTGAATCTTTTGTAGCCGATCGGATCCCCACTGAATGGCTTCATTTCCACTTGAGGTCGTTTGAGATGTTTGACAACCGATGAGTATTCCAATAGAGGACTTGGGTATCCATTGCCTGGAGCTGTCATGACACCAGGATATGTTTGTGGGTAGTAGTGGTCAGGTTGATACTGTGGTGTTGTGTTCGTTCTGTATACATCTTGAGGAGGAGCAGTTCTTGGATAGAATTCAGGAGGGGCTTATTGTCCTGGCATTTCATTCTTCACGTGAATCATATTCAGATCTTCAACGTCCTGTTTGGGTGGAAAGTGATTTTCCTCTTGAGGAGCGAATCTGACATAATTTTCCACTGGCTGGGATTTGACATGTGTTTGTTGTGCATCTTCACCTTGTGTAGATAAGACTTCTAATTCTTCACCGATTTCCCTCTCATTTTCTTCAACTACTCTAGTCTTGGCATCTATTGCTGCTATTTCTGTTTTCAACTTCAATTCTTTCTCTTCCATCTGAATTTTAAGCTTCTCCACGTCTAATCTTCCTACGTCTCTTGACGTGGAAGCCCTTGCTAACTATTCTGCCCTCTCTTGTTTATGTTTTATGTTTAAGTTTTATTAAGGAAGACTTTGCACTGCGAGATTTTACTTCACTTACAACACTGTTATCATGAAACCATTTCTCAAGATTTTGTTTAAATTGTCTTATTACAGGAGTTTCTTCTATGTCAACTTTCTGGTCATATAATGTCTTTTCGTTAACATCTAACATAAATTTAGTATTCTTCTTTCACACTGTAGTACTTATCTTGCAATGTCATGTACTGTTTCTGCTCAAACTGCATCCCTCTTTCAGTCATTTTCCTGTTTCTAGTAGTAATACTACTGAATAGCGATGCATTATCTTCTTCCATAGTTTATGAGTTTTTTGATAAACTTCTCATTTAGCTTTCTCATTTCTGATTCTCATGGATAGGGTCAAAATGTCAATGAGTGTTAGGATCACAATAAATGTCAATTCATCCTAGATCAAAAGTACAATTCACATTTCCATTTCCATCTGCATTCTCATTCTCATCTTATCATCAATTATCAATAAATACCCTCTTTTGAATTGGAAGATTGGCTGCAAAGGAAAAGTAAACAATCATAAGTTTGCAGTTCTATATGTAAACAGAACAATAACAATAATGACAATTACTTAAACAACAAAAGTTGACAAAAGACATTAAATTGTGACAAATAATTGCAAGAGCATTTGCACAGAAAGAATATATACATTAGTGATTGAAAACTGAACACATTATCATTACTTCAGAAAAGCTACGGGGCTGTCGGGTAGCCTAGTGGTTAAAGCGTTCGCTCGTCACGCCGAAGACCCGGGTTCGATTCCCGACATGGGTACAATGTGTGAAGCCCATTTCTGGTGTCCCCCGCCGTGATATTGCTGGAATATTGCTAAAAGCGTCGTAAAACCATACTCACTCACTCACTCAGAAAAGCTACAAATACAACATTTTGGGAAATAACATTGCTACAGAAATATATTGACAATGGAGAAGAAATACAAATGCATGACAACATACCATTTTGGTAGACCCATATTCTTTTCTAACTTTTACTTCTTGCTTTTTTGTTACTGACCACATGGGTCCTCATTCTCTCCCTCCAGAAACTAAAAAGCATGCATGGCATGCAGCTTAAACAGAGTAACCTTCCTTGCCTAAACTCCTGAAGCATGCATAAAATAATAATCTTTTACATGCTAAATTTGGAATGAAAATTAAAGACAAATTTAATAATTTGGAAAAATAAATAGAAACTATTATAGAGACGTTATTTTGACCGTAACAGAAGGTGTGATTGGTGACATTCCATATAGGGGAAGGTGTGATTGGCGACATGCTATAGAGGGGAAGGTGTGGTTGGCGTCATGCTATACAGGGGAAGGTGTGGTGGGCGACATGCTATACAGGGGGAGGTGTGGTTGGCGACATGCTATACAGGGGAAGGTGTGGTGGGCGACATGCTATACAGGGGGAGGTGTGGTGGGCGACATGCTATACAGGGGAAGTGTGGTGGGCGACATGCTATACAGGGGAAGGTGTGGTGGGCGACATGTTATACAGGGGAAGGTGTAGTGGTCGACATGCTATACAGGAGAAGGTGTGGTGGGCGACATGCTATACAGGGGAAGGTGTGGTTAGCGACATGCTATACAGGGGGAGGTGTGGTGGGCGACTTGCTATACAGTGGAAGGTGTGATGGGCGACATGCTATACAGGGGAAGTGTGGTGGTCGATATGCTATACAGGGGGAAGTGTGGTGGTCGACATGCTATACAGGGGAAGGTGTGGTGGGCGACATGCTATACAGGGGAAGGTGTGGTGGTCGACATGCTATACAGGGGAAGTGTGGTGGGCGACATGCTAAACAGGGGAAGTGTGGTGGGCGACATGCTAAACAGGGGAAGGTGTAGTGGTCGACATGCTATACAGGGGAAGGTGGGATGGGCGACATGCTATACAGGGGGAGGTGTGGTTAGCGACATGCTATACAGGGGAAGGTGTGGTGGGCGACATGCTATACAGGGGAAGGTGTGATGGGCGACATGCTATACAGGGGAAGTGTGGTGGGCGACATGCTATACAGGGGAAGGTGTAGTGGTCGACATGCTATACAGGAGAAGGTGTGATGGGCGACATGCTATACAGGGGAAGGTGTAGTGGTCGACATGCTATACGGGAGAAGGTTTGGTGGGCGACATGCTATAGAGGGGTAAATGTGTTGGGCGACTTGCTATAGAGGGGAAGGTGTGATGGGCGACATGCTATACAGGGGAAGTGTGGTTGGCAACATGCTATACAGGGGGAAGTGTGGTGGTCGACATGCTACACAGGGGAAGGTGTGGTGGGCCACATGCTATACAGGGGGACGTGTGATGGGCGACATGGTATACAGGGGAAGGTGTGATGGGCGACATGCTTTCCAGGGGAATTGTGGTGGGCGACATGCTATACAGGGGAAGATGTGGTGGGCGACATGCTATACAGGGGAAGGTGTAGTGGTCGACAAGCTATACAGGGGGAAGTGTGGTGGGCGACATGCTATACAGGGGAAGGTGTAATGGGTGACATGCTATAGAGGAGGAGGTGTGGTGGGCGACATGCTATAGAGGAAAGTCAGATGGTCCACGTCTTATAGAGTGGAAAGTTAACGGGCGACATGCTATAAACGTGTCGTGATTTTAGTGTATCTCACAAATACTTGCATTACATATATTGTGCGCGAACAGGTCACGTCGTCTCTGATGCAGAACCGAACGTAACTGAGAGATAGTGAAGAGACTTTTTGTGTCTAACACACTGTTAAGGAATACCCTGCGGGTGTCAGAAGGGATACAGTGCTGTTGTCTAAGTGTATCCTGTTTGCGCTGTCTAAAAGTATACACTTTTGTTGCCAACAGTGAGCAGTGAAACACTTGTGGCTTCTTTATGGATATTCCGCTATTGTCTATGGAAATGGTCTGATGTTGTTTAAAGGAATATTCTGTTGTCGTTGATAGGATATAGAGGAAAACACACGGCAGGTAAGTGTTTGATGTGCCGCAAGTTGAATAGGACAGGATAACGAGTTTATGTTCAGGAAGTAGTGGTATGTTATAGGCGACACATTCAAAGATGTGACTTGTTATATGTTAAAGGCGGGACGAGCGACAAGCTATAGTTGGGATAGTGGGATGGGCGACATGCTATAGTGGGAAAGGTGCGTTTATGAGGCGGGACAGGATGACTCCCTAATGGAAAACAGAACACGCCGTCTTTTAAATCGACCCAGTTTCATCTTTGTGGAGTGAAGACATTGATATGCATACATTGGGTGGCCTAGCGTACAATACAACCAGCGTGTAGAGTTCTCCAAGTAACCCGCACGCCTCTATTGATCAACCCCGCTGTGAGACGATCTAATATCACCATTTTACTTCCTTGTTGCGGGTTGAGCTCGTATTGCATAGTCCTGTTTATCATCCTTCTTAAGGGCCGCGGAACTACAGAACCGGGCCCTTGATGAGTGTTGGTAAAATTCCAAAATAATTACGTGCACATATGTCATGCTTCACATGCCGTAAGTGTCTTGATAAGAGGGAACATCTTATATGTGGGTGTAATTTACAAACACATGGTCATCATGATTGTTTTGCATGTTTAATTTGCTAAACAAAGGTTGCTGACGTCTGTGATATTGATCAGTTGGGGATATAGGACTTGTGTTTCGTATCTAAACTGTTCAACTGTTTCAGTAATGAACTTATCAAGAGAAACCAAGACTCAGTTCAAGATTCAGGACTGTCCAATTTATCTCCTATCCGAAAGAACACTCTAATCCGCTAGATTCACTAAATCTGGTGAAAAATAAAATGTGTCGCTAGATGAGAACAGTCCTAATATAAAGGTGATTAAGTGGGTGAATGTTGTTTACCGCCGTAGTCAGTGAAACTCTAACCATATCTGACCTGAACAGAAACAACAGTGATTGAAAACAAGAGGACTGATCCGCACCATCCATGCACGATGACAAGTAGTCAAAACATGAAGGTAACACACCACCTAAACCCCTATTTAATAAGCCATGCATTCTGTTACGACCGCACAAGTGGCACATGTCGTAATAAAGTTTGGATGATGCAATTCTGAAATGTCAACATTGAAAGTCGTAATGCCTTCCTCTCATGAAGAGCTGTTTATGTCAATATCCAATCTGCATTGTACTATGGGCTTAGGTGCCTAAATGGCAGAAGAAACTCTTTGTCTGTTTCAGAAGGCGTATCCCCAGGGTTTTGTTAAATCGCAAGCATTATCTTTGCATAAAGAGCAAAGTGAATATTATTTTATGGAGTGCATCCTAGAATTCAACTGAATCATTTTTAAATTTGCCCCCCCCACCCCCCCCCCCGATGAAGCACGTTCCATTTTGTTTATCAGGGTCATTGCGTAATAGAAGGGCTTGTCAGTTAGAGCGTACCGTGTGGAGGTCGAATTTGCGTAAATGCTTAACTGTTTAATAACATGCAGACTACTTCTTTGTATTATTAGCAGAAGTTGATTCCTGCAGTGGACCAACGGAACCATGGATAGAAAATATGTCATAGCAATTGCTGTATGTGTGACTGTGATAGTCGTCATCATCGTCATCGTCGTTGTCGTCGTGTCTCTGTTAATCAGACGTCGGAGGAGGGTTGTTCGTAAGTACTGACTATATGTACTGGTTGTAGGACTTATATTGTATACCCAAAGCACACGACCTCACAAAACTAAACCCTAAAAGAAAACCTACTGTGCTTTGACTTTGTAGTCACCATAGAATCAATATTTATAATTTGGCACCGAACACTTTTGCACGAGGTTTCAATTTAAAATACGAAGGTATCGATTCTACAGCGAGACGACCTCAAATTTTAACCACAGGAAGTTAATCGCCATTTTACAATGACTTAGAACGCTTTATACCGTGTTTTGACACGTGTCATTACACATAGGTACATCGTTCCGAAATCCTACTGTGGCAATTATTACAGAGGTCCAAATTAAAATACACATATTCTTAACTTCTTCATAATAACGCTTGTAAACACATACATGTTGTTTGACCCTGCAACGATGTTTTAATTCCATCGCAACCTGTAGCATACCTCCATTGCATCATGTGCATGGACCCAACTAAGTGGTTTCTTGGAAATCAATATTGTATAATTATTCAATTAAGTAAGGATAAGAATTTATGGATGAACAACTTCTTTATTGCAATTTAGAGCGACGTTTCGGTGTAGGTTCTAACACCGTTAGCACTTGCTTGATAACGGTGTTGGAACCTACACTGAAACGTCGCTCGTAATAAAGAAGTTGTTCATCCATAAATTCTTATCCTTACTTAGTACTCCAACTTCTAAATTCCTATCAAAGAAGTAATTATTCACTTGTTTGTTTCACGGTTTATTTCAAATGAAGAAAAGACGCTAAAAAAAATATTCCTCAACACACTCTATTATGAACATATTCTGTTATTTATTTCACATTTGTATGTCTTATTAGTGACCCCTTTTAAATAATAGTTATTCAAAGTAACTACCTCTCCACTCCGAACTTGAGGCGTCTGAGCTTGGCCTACGTCGCGGTTACTATCAGTAGCTGCCAAAGTAATTGTTGACAGTCTCTGTCCCGCTGACAAGCTGCAGGGAGCCAGACAACCCCGATCTATGATGTTGTTCAACACTGACCTATAGTTTTACAGAGAATGAGCCTGCTGGTCCAACGTGATTGTCAACGGTAACACCTTGACTGACGGACGACTACCGTTTTTAGGCCCAAGCAGCATTGTATGACATGAAGGATTCTTTACTTTAGTGTTGTGACAGTTTCATGATTCAACCGGATTCGACGCCGGCATGAGAAAAACGTGTGACTTCGAGTTAATGTTTTTATGGGTTACGACCACCGTTGAAGTGAACATTAAAAGAGAGTCAGTGAGTGAGTATGGTTTTACGCCGCTTTTAGCAATATTCCTGCAATATCACGGCGGGGACACCAGAAAGGGCTTCACACATTGTACCCGGGTCTTCGGCGGGTCGAGCCAACGCTTTAACCACTAGGCTAACCGACCGACCCTAAATCAATAGGAAGAGCTGTTAAATGAGTCTGCAAGCGTGGTTTAACGCCGCTTTTAGCAATATTCCAGCAATATTTCAGCACTATTCCAGCAATATCACGGCGGGGGACACTACATATGAGCTTCACACATTGTACCCATGTGGGAAACAAACCCGGGTTGTCTTCGTGACGAACGAACGCTTTGACCACTAGGCTAGTCACTAGTCACTAGTCACTTATGTACTCTCGTTGATAGTGAGGGTGTGGGGAATATTTATAACTCTTGCCATTAACAATTGGTTTGCTGATAGTATTTCCTTCTCTCAGGCAACAACAATCCCTTCCCCTTCAGATGGTTGTATTTGATAAAAAGATAGATGCCCTTGACATATTATAATGAAACAGGTATGAAAGTAAATCTCGAAAAATATAGTCATATTATTTAGACATGGTGTTCTACTTCGCTCTTATGAGAAATGGTATGTAAGGGTGAAATTATTGACTCATGGTACAAACACTCAGGCTTAACAACCAATAATTAAAATGGAGAGTGGTCGTGGGATGCCATGAAACTGTATTCATCATCAGTGGAATATATAGTAAATATGATGATTTCTTACGGATGAGCGCGTAGTTTCTTTATCCTATAAAGTTAAATACTATTGAGGGAGATCGGGAAGGCTAGTGGTTAAAGCGTTGGCTCGAAGACCCGAGTTCGATTCCCGACATGGGTACAATATTTGAAGCCCATTTCTGGTGTCCCCCGCCGCGATATTGCTGGAATATTGCTAAAAGCGGCGTAAAATCAAACTCACTCACTCACTAAATACTACATGTATAGAAAACACATGTGATTTCCCTCTGTGCCTCCATAGTTAAGTGTGAACGGTGGTTGTAAAGTTCGTCTAGCGCAACAGAAAGCACATTAACCCCTTCACTTTTCAAGTGGAAAGTTACATCTAATCATTTAAATTTTATAATTATATTCCGAATAGAGACCAGAGGACATCATTAAAGAAAGATTCCTACTTTATATATGTATCAGACAATGATAGAATTAACAATTGACCAATTCTTTTTCTAGGTAGACAACGACCACGACCACAGAGCTCAGTTTCTGTTGAGAGCACCGTTCAAGTTAGTAAGTATGAATTAATATTTATTTTGTTTTGTTTTGTGATTAACAAATATTCTATTTGAAAACATAATGGAAAGACTCATTGAGTGAAGCTTTGCCCGTCCTGCCAGAACTACATTCAGTGCCTTCAATGTGCCGAATGAATGAGTGAGTGAGTGAGTTTGATTTTACGCGGCTTTTAGCAATATTCCAGCAATATCACGGCGGGGGACACCAGAAATCGGCTTCACACATAGTACCTGTGTTGGAAATCGAACCCAGGTCTTCGGCGTGACGAGCGAACGCTTCAACCATTTGGCTACCTGACCGCCCTTGAGAAATAGTAAGAAAACAACGTGATAATATTGATTGATATTGTGTGAAGCTCTGGTGATTGTAATAAGCTGTACATTGTGCGAATGCTCTGTTTTTTGTCCAGGGGCAGCAAAGAATTATCGAATCAGCCGCGATGACATCGTGGAGAGATCAGGTATGTGGTTATATCACAGTTTAGATGTCATATGAAGCCCTTCACATAGTTTGGATCTCGCCTGAAGATGTTTACACAGCTGATATCTCATCTAAAATATCATGCCGCTGAGATCTCATCTAAAGTTGTTAAGACAGTTGATATCTCACCTAAAATATTGATACCGCTGAGATCTTATCTAAATTTGTTAAGACAGCTGGTATCGCACCTAGTAATATTCATACCCCTGAGATCTCGTCTAAAATTGAGATCACAGTTGAGATCACGCCTCAAGTCGTTCACAAAGTTGAGGTCACAACTGAATCTGCTCACACGGATTTTACATTTAAACAATGTCTAGTACAGAGGGAATACCTGAGATCTTAACATGATCAGACAGGTAGGTCTCTTCTACTGCCGTTAGGTACCCGATTAGAATGTGTGCGCACTGTGCATGACCCTGACTCGATTATATAAAGACCCGGTGTTATAGGCTCAAACGACTCCCCTTAAATTTGACTCTTGAGTCATATGGGCCTAGGCTCAAATGACTCCCCTAGCCAGGCTCAAAACACTCCCTTTAGGATCAGCTAACTCCCCTACTGGGACCAAAATGACCCCCTTTGCTTTGCATTAAAATGATTACAGAAAAGATCAAACATATCTTGTATTATAAAGGTTTTCAACCCCTCTTCCTCATTTTCTTTTCTGAAAATGTCAGGTTAAGAACAATCCCTAATAGTGTGTGTCAGATGTTTTAGTACCAGTTATTTTATTACGGTTTTATATTTAACTTTATTTGGAAAATCTCCAGGTTCCTCTCTTAAATCACTATACTTTTCTTAACCTATAATCCGATTTCAGAATACTCCCGGCGTTAAATCTTTGACGATAAAACGGCAACCTTCATTGCGGCCGTAGGTTTCTTGATAGCTTGCATAGTGGAGCATAATTATTAACACAAGGGCTACGACACTCTTTATAGGCCATTAGTCATTACGATGAACACCGTATAATAACCACCACCTTTCTGTTACAGGAAAAGACGACTTGGAGCTGAAAGGCGTGACCAACAGCCCGACAGGGGAGGCAATCACAGGTAACATAATTTACCATACCTCCATGTCAGAATGATGAGATCTGATTGGTCCACGTGATCTTGTTAAAATGTGTATCCCGCCTTGGAGGGAAATTAATTGCTCAGCTGGGAGAATAAATGCCTCATACCCCGCCACGAGCACAATAGGCTGCACGTGGATTTCTGAGAGGCAGAACAAATCCCTAATACCCTGCTTAGAAGCAAAAAGCCGCATGCTTTTTTCGCGTCAATGTCAATATGGCACAAGTTAATATCAGCTGTTTTCTACCAATTATGAATTTGTTTTAATTGGCTTAGAATGTCATATAAAACATGTCGCTAAGATACACATTCGTTGTAGCAGGATCAAGAGTGGTCCAATGTCAGGCTTTATGACATTGTGACATAATATTGACATTGCTCCCGGATCGCGGTATAAAATCTAACGCAGATCAGTTTAAATAATATAGAATGTAGGCAATACATAAAAGTGTTAAACACTCTTAATGCAGACAAGTAAGCACCCTTTACCCTGTACGGTTGACATGACGGGGTTTACCTGATCCCCAGTAACCAATTCTTGTCGGATAGGCATCTGGCAAATTCATTGTTTAGGCGCTGTAAAACCTTGATTTTCAGCACGCCGTGGATTTGCGTAAGCGTTATTACGGTTAAATCAAGGTGTTTTTTGTAAGCACCTGATAGCTTAACAATCATTGTGTTCTGTTCACATTAAAACAACACGTGTATGAGTGTCATGCTCCCAACAAACACGCAAACATCCAAATTGTGCGCCGTGCATTAACATGTGAATCACGGCCTTAAAGTTGAGGAGATGTCTGCATGAATATGTATTGAATAAGAAATTCAATATTGTTAAAACTTAAAATGAAGCACTTTTGCCTTCGGTAGATGTTGTGCTTTGTCTAGACCCGTGATGTTTTGGCAACGATCCATTGCATGTTATACCATCTCTGTTAGTATTTAGAGACCGTACCCTGGTATCCGGAAGTGGTTCTGCGCATGCGCGAAGAGGGACATTGTGGGTTATGCGTGCGCATCAAAGATGGCGTCACTTCCGGTTCCGGGAGGCCGTGCGCATCCAAGATGGCGATATTTTCGGTTCCGAGAGGCGTGCGCCTCCAAGAGGGCGTCACATCCGGTTCAGGGGAGAAGGAGAACATAAGAAGCGCTCGTAAACGATAAAATAAGGAACAGAAGCGCACGTAAAATCCACCAGTTTCATTTTACCAAAGCGGAAAAAAGTGGCTGGGGCGGAGTTGGTGGAGGTGGTGATGGCGGCGGCGGCGGCGGCGGCGGCGGCGGCGGTGGTGGTGGTGACGGAGGCGGCGGCGGCGGAGGCGGCGGCGATGGTTGTTGCGATGGCGGCGGCGGCGGCGGCGGCAGCGGTGGTGGTGGTGGCGGAGGAGGGAGAAGGGTGAGGAGGAGGAGGAGGTTTTTTTTTCGGTTGTGGTTGGTAGGTAAAGCCTTGACTAGTTGGTTTCCAGTTGGTTTCCAACGGCCCTTTTCAGGGCCACCCCACTCTCCCGAAAGAACGCTTACATCATTGCTTTACCTACCAACCAATACCAAAAAAAACCCTCCTCCTCCTCCTCCCTCCTCCCTCCTCCGCCACCACCACCGCCGCCGCCGCCACCGCACGGATGCGCAGAACCACTTCCAGACACCAGGGATACCAGAACTACTGATGTATTTATATAGGTTCCCGTTAAAAAGTGTGCAGCTATTTTTGCTGCTGCACATGCATCTACCAAAACAACGTTTGCAGTGTTTTGACGACTGCTTCCATGGTAGTGAAATTTTGATGACGTTATTTTGTTTGGTCAAATCAAATTTCCAATTGAAAATAGTAAACTATGCTTATGACGAACTCAAAGGGACCACGAATTTGAGTTCTTATAACCGTAGTTTAAGGCCAGCATACATCCAGCAGTATAAACAGCAAATGGCCGGGACAAAAATATGTTCGTTATATCCGTCAGTTCGTTATAGGCGTGTTCGTTACAAACGTATTTTACTGTACTTTCTTTTGCCCCGCATAATGTATTTGCCTCGTGTTTTGCCGCCATAAATTGTGGGCTGAACCTGCTAGCTGTCCTGAAAGAGATTTATTTACTGTTTAAAGTAAGTCCGTTCGGTTTGTATGTTTTGAAGCTGTGCCTTCCCATCCCTAGGATGTTGGGTCCATTAATTAAGCGGGGGCACGGGTGGCCCAGTCGTCTAAGGCGCCGCGATTCGCTGTGCAGAGTTGCGTCCCTTGGGCATGCCAGAAACCTATAATTGTGGGTTCGAATCCCGGTTCGACCCAATTATGTTTCTAGATTTGTCAGCACCATACCCGTGCTCGTGGGTTTCACCGAAGTGGTAAATGTCTGAGACCTGCATCACTTCGGGCTTTCCTCCCACATTAAGCTGACACGCCGCGATATAACTTGAATACTGTTCAAAGCGGCGTTAAACCCAACTCACTCACTCACTCACTCACTCATTAATTAAACCTGCTACCTTTAAATGACTGATTGTCCTTCTCTGTTGTCAGCTATGTGTCCCCCGACACCTCCAGTTGGTGGAGCCGCTCCCCCGCGTCTCGATCCCATATAACGCCAGGACAATCTCACAACCAGCATCTACTGCACAGCACCTGCACCATCAACTACATCAGGAAGTGCACAGACGTCAGAAATTGAGAATCGACACGCTACAATGCCTTAAGATTTGACGTCAACAATGTATATCTTTTTGACTATATGCAGGTCTTCCTTTTAGGTTGACGTAATTGATGTATACATACGTAGTGCCCATATAGAATAAACCGATAATGTAGATGATAATGGGATACAAGAGGAAAGGCTACAATGCACCAAAGGATGTTGTCGAGTTACAATAAGGGATGTGCCGATGTGGTTTTGTAGTAGTTTTGTAATTGGTGTATCCCACACAGGTCTGTACAAATGCAGCTTATACAATTTTAAAATGAGTGTTTTTTTGTGTATGCATAATCAGCAATTTTCCTTCTGTATCACGATGGCCTGTTATTACATCAAGTCAAGGCAAACCAGTGATTGATATCATGAGCAACGTCCAACGCCGTCCGGTATCATCCCACGCAATCGACTAGTCCAGTCTAGTCCTATCCATCCGACCCATATTTAGTCGTCTCATACAACAAAAAACAATAGAGTGCTGGGGACCTACCAGAAACCGTGTGACAAAATCGATTCTTTTTTTCAAGTTAGGACAAACGCACAGATACAGTTTTATGAGGATCATATCACAAACATTCAGTCAAAGCTGTGCATCGCACATATGAATACAACGTGTGCTGTTTGCATTTGTTTCGCCAGTGAGGAATAAAATACAGTTCATATACTCTGCAAAAAAAGAAACGCAAATGTAAAAAGAAATCGTAAAATTCTGTCACAGTGCTGCCGACATCCATACAAAATTATATCAAACATGAATGTGTACATTTCTGCATGGATTGGGATTGATTTGTGTGGAAATTAGTGTGGAATGAGGTACTGCAGACATTTGGTGACAAGATGGAAAAACGCAACCACGTGAGAGCCTGGTGCCGAAACACACCAATATGACATGCACGTTCAACGTAACTCGTTTGGTAATAAAATCGTTGGGATGCGTAAGATATCAGTCCATACTGAGGAACTGTTTACGCGCTGAAGGTATTCGCGCTAGATGACCAGTTCGGGTGTCATTTTGACGGAGCTGCATCGTCGACTGCGACGTCAAGGTTTGATGTGGTGGTGGAATTGTGCCGATGAGGGCAACCATTTCCTGCACTGGTAGAATCGACTTGGTGCAAGTTCCTCGGAACTTAACGGCACAGCGTTACAGTCAACAAAACTGACAACAGCCTCCCATAGGAATAACAACATCCAGATCCTGTCAAGGCCCTCCACGTCTCCAGTCGGACATTTATGAGATGCACGGGATCAACGACTGCAAGCACATCAGCAACAACCACAGACCATCCAACAGTTGGCACACGCACTGCAGGGAGAATGGGTGAACAGTTCTCCAGGGCACAATTCGGTAACTGATTTCTTCCATGGGACGGCGATGCCAGTCAGTTTGGAGCCTGGTGGCCATACAGGATATGTAGAACAGATGACCTTGAACATCTGCTGTTCCATTTCTTCTATATGGAACATAGGTCAATGACAATGATATGTGCCTATTTTGAACAATCGATTACAATATGTTGATTTTTATATGATGCATAAAATATCAAACCTTTGCCGGTTTTTTGCAGAGTATATATACACAATGGATGCAGTCCTGAAAACAATTGTAATGAAACTATATATAAATACCCCTAAACATCTCAGAGCAAGGATATTTTCGAGTGATCTCATTCAATCAGTCAGCTATACTCAGATATATGACGGCGATCTGTAAATAATCGTGTCTGGACCAAATAATCAAGTGATTGATATTACGAAGTGCGGTCAACACCGTCGGAGTATCACACGCCATCAACCCAGACCACCCGATCTGTTAAGTCGCCTCTTAAGATCCGCACAGGGTGCTGGAGACAAAGTGTATCCCGGCATCTACGCGGGACAATGTGTGCATGTGAACAGGAATGTTGCAGTATCTGCCTGCCATACGTTTCAGACAGTCCACACTACTCATAGTCCACACAACAACCAATAGTTAACCCGACCCTTCCTTTTAGAAAAAAACCCAAAACAGTTGTCATCAACACAAACTGCCATAAAGCAAATATGAAGAATGGAACTATTAGACATCATAATGAACTTTCAGATACATACTATATAAACATGCACAACTGAAAAGGTGACTTCTCGTCTTTGGTTACTATAAGTTCTCTGAATAGTGTCTTTTGCTGTAGGCGGCGCTAAACAAACAAAAAAACAAAAAACAAACAGGTACATATTTATATATATATTTTTATAATATCATATCATATACACACAAACACACACACACACACACACACACACTCATACACGCACAAACACACTCACACACACAAACATTATACATCGATAATAACCTTTCTTGTAACTGGACTCACAAACAGTACATCGACAACATCCTTTTGCTAAACTCGACACACGTACAGTGCTTCGATAACATCCTTTCTCGAAAAACTGGACACACATACAGTACATCGATAACATCCTTTCTCGAAACTCGACACACATACAGTACTTCGAAAACATCCTTTGTTGTAACTCGACACTCATACAGTACATCGACAACATCCTTTCTTGAAACTCGAAACATGTACAGTACTTCGATAACATAGTTTGTCGAAACTCAACACACATACAGTACATCGATAACATCCTTTCTCGAAACTCGACACACATACAGTACATCGACAACATCCTTTCTCGAAACTGGTCACACGTACAGTACATCGATCACATTCTTTGTTGTCGCTATACACAAACAGCGTGTGGATTTCCCAAGCCAGTGCTCTGGACCGGCGGTCGTCAAATCATATCACGTCTCTGAGCTTCGGGTGCCTTCATACTGTTCCATCACACGTTCATTTGTCAAAGGTCATGACGAGTTTGCTGACGCCTGACACTGTTGTCACTTCACGACACTTATCCATCATCACACGCACCTATTCAAAACATGATCTTTTGTATTATGCACACATACAATGTGAAATGTCACGTCCAAGCAGTTGTCACGTGTCAACACACACGTGTCATTGGTGCAGTTCTTGGTATACTGGGGACAATGTCTGACGTCTATGCAGTTCATGATACAGTTGATTGTGCAGGTGCTGTGCAGTAGATGCTGGTGGTGAGCTTGGCCCGACGTTATATGGGATCGAGACGCGGGGGAGCGACTCCACCAGCTGGCGCCGTCGGGGGACACACAGCTGACAACAGAGAGAAATGATCAATCATTTCGATTTAGCAGGTTCAGTTAATAGACAAAACATAGTGAGGAATTATCATTGAGAGACCTACCACATTGGTGAACTACCATTGAGAGCTCTACAACATTAGTGAACTATCATTGAGAGCCCTACAACATTGGTGAACTATCAATGAGAGCCCTACAACAGTGGTGAACTATCATTGAGAGCTCTACAACATTGCTGCACTCTCATTGAGAGCCCTACAACATTGATGGACAATCATTGAGATGCATACGACAGTGGTGAACTACCATTGAGAGCCCTACAACAGTGCTGAACTACCATTGAGAGCCCTACAACAGTGGTGAACTACGATTAAGAGCCCTACAACATTGATGAACTCTCATTGAGAGCCCTACGACAGTTAGGATCTACCATTGAGAGGCCTACAACAGTGAGGAACTATCATGGAGAGCCCTACAACATAGGTGAACTACCATTGAGAGCCCTACAACAGCGAGGAACTATCATGGAGAGCCCTCCAACATTGGTGAACTATCATTGAGAGCCCTACAGCATTGGTGAACTACCATTGAGAGCCCTACAACAGGAACTATCATGGAGAGCCCTACATCATTGGTGAACCATCATTGAGAGCCCTACAACAGTGAGGAACTATCATGGAGAGCCCTACATCATTGGTGAACTACCATTGAGAGCCCTACAACAGTGAGGAACTATCATGGAGAGCCCTACATCATTGTTGAACTACCATTGAGAGGCCTACAACAGTGAGGAACTATCATGGAGAGCCCTACAACATAGGTGAACTACCATTGAGAGCCCTACAACAGCGAGGAACTATCATGGAGAGCCCTCCAACATTGGTGAACTATCATTGAGAGCCCTACAGCATTGGTGAACTACCATTGAGAGCCCTACAACAGGAACTATCATGGAGAGTCCTACATCATTGGTGAACCATCATTGAGAGCCCTACAACAGTGAGGAACTATCATGGAGAGCCCTACATCATTGGTGAACTATCATTGAGAGCCCTACAACAGTGAGGAACTATCATGGAGAGCCCTACATCATTGGTGAACTACCATTGAGAGCCCTACAACAGTGAGGAACTATCATGGAGAGCCCTACATCATTGGTGAACTACCATTGAGAGCCCTACAACAGTGAGGAACTATCATGGAGAGCCCTACAACATTGGTGAACTACCATTGAGAGCCCTACAACAGTGAGGAACTATCATGGAGAGCCCTACATCATTGGTGAACTACCATTGAGAGCCCTACAACAGTGAGGAACTATCATGGAGAGCCCTACAGCATTGGTGAACTATCATTGAGAGCCCTACAACAGTGAGGAACTATCATGGAGAGCCCTACAGCATTGGTGAACTATCATTGAGAGCCCTACAACAGTGAGGAACTATCATGGAGAGCCCTACAGCATTGGTGAACTACCATTGAGAGCCCTACACCAGTGAGGAACTATCATGGAGAGCCCTACAACATTGATGAACATTGAGAACCCGACATCATGTTTACCTTTAACTTTTTCACCTTGAATGCCTTTCAGCTCCAAGTCGTCTTTTCCTGCAAGATATCAGTAATGTCTTAGTATTGTTAGCTCAGATTTCACACTGAATGCCCGAAATATTGTTTAACCCTTGTTTCAAGAAACACATCTTGGCGGCAATGGAAGTGACCTTTTGTGTGGAGACTGGACCATGCACAATCTGGACACGTTCTAATCCAAGATTTTGCGTATTCGCTGTGTAATCTCCATCGTTTGAATGTAAACTCCGTGTGGGGAGCGCAGCTGTTTGTACAGCTTCAGCCGCAATTTTAACTTTGTGAACAACTTGGAGGTCTCAGTTTATTGGATAACTTTAGACGAGATCCGAACTGAGTGAACAGGCTTAACTCTCAGATTAGCTTCTGGCGAGATCCGAACTGAGTGAAAAGACTAAACTCTGAGATTAGTTTCCGGCCAGATTTAAAACTGGGTGAAAGCATCAGATGAAATCTTACCGTGTGATATAACGACTTACCTGATCTTTCCACGATGTCATCGCGGCTGATTCGGTAATTATATGCAGCCCCTGGAGAAACAGAGCATTCGCAAGATGTTTACGCTGTTGTTTTACAAAGCTGCATGTGTATTTTCTCACAATTAATCAGGGTGTTTGATTCAATCTACCTGGTTATTGTCTGAAACAAAACGTCGTAACTTGGAGACAAGGAAGGTAGATCTGACAGGATATATTTTTCACCCAATGACTTATGTCGGCAGATGAAAAAAATCATAAATCAATAGCATCAGATTAAAAAGTTATTTATGTATACTGTCTCGTTGTGTCAAAGTTCAACTATCATCACTTCTCGTGATACAACGGCGCAAGGCGCCATATTTTGTCGTACAGAAGGGCATCCCTTTGGTGTGCCAGAAACCATTAATCGAGTGTTCCAATCCCGTTTCGACCTGATGATGTTTCTGGGTTTCTCAGCATCATGTCAATACTGATGGGTTTCACCAAAGCGGTGAACGTCTGAGATTTGCATCACTTCAGGCTTTCCACTCATTCACTCAGTCACTCACTAACTCACAAAATGGCGGCACTGAGTCAGTACTCAGCAGCTTTCAAGCTGCAGTCGACAAAACTCTGCACGTTGAAATCCATGTTGTTAACAAACCGGATGCCTAGTTCGTTTCGCGATTTTGATTGGACTATGCATAGACTCGTTGGTCCAGCCAAAATGTAACTTCGGAATTCCAGCCTAGTTCGGCGAGGGTGGAAACTGGACTCTATAGTCAGTTAACTCCCTTGCCTTGGGAAGATGGGAAGATTTAAGAAATTCCATTTACTTCGGATCCTGAAGAATAATTGGGTCATACTTACTAACTTGCAGCGTGTCCTCAGCAGAAACTGAGCTTTGTGGTCGTGGTTGTCGCTGTCGTCTACCTGGAGTAAGAATTGGTGATTTGAAATACATAAAATGTTCTGTCAGTGGTTTGTTAATCACATCATTGTCTGATAAATATTGAAAGCAGGATTCTTTGAAGGATGTCGGCTTGTCCGTGAACGTTTTCTAAGATAGCGAACTTTCTAAACGAAAGGGAGAGAGGCTAGCGTACATTCATTTGCGCTAGACGAACTTCAAAACCACCGTTCACACTACAAATAAGCTTATAGGGAAATCACTCACGTGTTTACATTTTTACATAAAAGGAGTGGTTAACGTTTTAGAACATACCAACCACATATCGATAAACAGTTCATCTATGAGAAATTATCATTTGTTTTATATGTTTTTTCAAGAAGTTGATAATAGCGTGTGCAGCGACATTCCATGATGACGTCATACACTGCCATGACGTCACGTGACTAAGTGTAAATGCGGTGACGTCATAGCTGAAGAATATTGCTGGCCTGTTCTAGTCTGTTTGGCCATAAGGAATACGTGAAGAGGAAATTGATTACCATTTTGTCTGACGCTGAAGATTTAACAATTTGACTTTTAGTCATAGATTCGCGTCGTCCACGCAATATCTCGGCGATAGACGTACTTACATTATGTCGTTCTGATAGACACACATACGTTTTATTCAGCATAATGCCCTGGTAGAAAATGTATCAGTGCAAATGGGTTGCAGTTCCTAGTTTCAACAGTTTACTTAAAAGGTAAGGATAAGATTTATGGATGAACAACTTCTTTATTACAATTAAGAGCGACGTTTTAATGTAGGTTCTAACACGGTTATCACTTGTTTGATGTTAGAACCTACACCGAAGCGTCGCTCTTGATTGTAATAAAGAAGTTGTTCATGCATAAATATTATCCTTACTTACTACTTCAACTTCTAAATGCCTATCAAAGAAAATTACTTGATGTAAATATAAGGCAGCGTTAAACATAACATCCATCTTATTGTTTTGTAAGAGATTTATTTGCGTGAGAAAAGTGTAAGGCTTACAGATATATTATTCCTAATGTAGGCATAAAACAAGAGTTCAAAACACGATTTCTGTGTGGCCTATATGTAGAATATTGTGCCATGTTTATCTGTCCTAACTCTCGCTCCCACCAGGGTGGTTGAATGTTTAGCACAAATACCACATTAACCCTTATCTGTGCGTTCAACTGTTTCCTGGTGTATGTTGGTCAGGTGATATATTGCAGCGACAGCGTTACTATGGATTACATTGTATGTATATGTGCATGAGAGAACATATACTGACGGAAGTTTCATTCGGGAGACATTATTTGTAACGAGCTCAGTGTCTTTGTTAAATGTGCAGTTTGTGAAATGACATGAATTACCAGCTATACCAACCCAACATATTGTAATGTATGGATATAATTATGAAGACGCTAGTAGATAATCAACCACACAGACGCCATTATGAGTAATATATGTAAATAGAATCATCATTCTCATTTCATGTATGGAAACCAAATGTACAACAGGATTATGTAAGTTTATGAGTAATATATGTAAATAGAATCATCATTCTCATTTCAGGTATGGAAACCAAACATACAACAGGATTATGTAAGTTTATGAGTAATATATGTAAATAGAATCATCATTCTCATTTTCATGTATGGAAACTAAATGTACAACAGGATTATGTAAGTTTATGAGTAATATATGTAAATAGAATCATCATTCTCATTTCATGTATGGAAACCAAATGTACAACAGGATTATGTAAGTTTATGAGTAATATATATGTAAATAGAATCATCATTCTCATTTCATGTATGGAAACCAAACGTACAACAGGAGTATGTAAGTTTATAAGTAATATATGTAAATAGAATCATCATTCTCATTTCATGTATGGAAACCAAATGTACAACAGGATTATGTAAGTTTATGAGTAATATATGTAAATAGAATCATCATTCTCATTTCATGTATGGAAACCAAACATACAACAGGATTATGTAAGTTTATGAGTAATATATGTAAATAGAATCATCATTCTCATTTTCATGTATGGAAACTAAATGTACAACAGGATTATGTAAGTTTATGAGTAATATATGTAAATAGAATCATCATTCTCATTTCATGTATGGAAACCAAATGTACAATAGGATTATGTAAGTTTATGAGTAATATATATGTAAATAGAATCATCATTCTCATTTCATGTATGGAAACCAAACGTACAACAGGAGTATGTAAGTTTATGAGTAATATATGTAAATAGAATCATCATTCTCATTTCATGTATGGAAACCAAATGTACAACAGGATTATGTAAGTTTATGAGTACTATATGTAAATAGAATCATCATTCTCATTTCATGTATGGAAACCAAACGTACAACAGGAGTATGTAAGTTTATGAGTAATATATGTAAATAGAATCATCATTCTCATTTTATGTATGGAAACCAAATGTACAACAGGATTATGTAAGTTTATGAGTACTATATGTAAATAGAATCATCATTCTCATTTCATGTATGGAAACCAAACATACAACAGGATTATGTAAGTTTATGATTAATATATGTAAATAGAATTATCATTCTCATTTCATGTATGGAAACCAAATGTACAACAGGATTATGTAAGTCTATGAGTACTATATGTAAATAGAATCATCATTCTCATTTTATGCATGGAAACCAAACATACAACAGGAGTATGTAAGTTTATGAGTAATATATGTAAATAGAATCATCATTCTCATTTCATGCATGGAAACCAAATGTACAACAGGATTATGTAAGTTTATGAGTAATATATATGTAAAAAGAATCATCATTCTCATTTCATGTATGGAAACCAAATGTACAACAGGATTATGTAAGTTTATGAGTAATATATATGTAAAAAGAATCATCATTCTCATTTCATGTATAGAACGAAACGTTCAACAGGATTATGTAAGTTTATGAGTAGTATATGTAAATAGAATCATCATTCTCATTTCATGTATGGAAACCAAATGTACAACAGGATTATGTAAGTTTATGAGTAATATATATGTAAAAAGAATCATCATTCTCATTTCATGTATAGAAACCAAACGTTCACAGGATTATGTAAGTTTATGAGTAATTTATGTAAATAGAATCATCATTCTCATTTCATGTATGGAAACCAAATGTACAACAGGATTATGTAAGTTTATGAGTAATTTATGTAAATAGAATCATCATTCTCATTTCATGTATGAAAACCAAACGTACAACAGGATTATGTAAGTTTCTTACCATAACTACTGTAATCACAATACACATATTCTGAGTCATGATCAGTCATGTAATCTGAAGAATTCCTTCATACTGGCTTGGAGAAATACCGTCAACTTCAGAATAGTTACAAATAGGAGGATTGCTTGGTGATTAATATTGAAATATTAGAATATTGTCAACATCCCTAGCCTGGAATGATGTGCAAAAAAGCTTTTGTCGAAATGATTATACATGCATGTAAATATATCCCCCACGAACAGTTCATCTGTTGTTAGAGACCCGTGAAGATCCGGGGTAGAATTGCGTCCCTTTGGCGCTCCAGAAACCCATGATTGTGGGGTCGGATCCCGGTTCGCCCTGATTATGTTTCTAAATTTGTCAGCACCATACCCGTGCTCGTGGGTTTCACCGAAGTGGTAAACGTCTGAGACCTGCATCACTTAGGTCTTTCCTACCACATTAAGCTGACACGCCATGATATGACTAGAATACTGTTAAAAGCGGCGTTAACCCCAACTCACTCACTCACTCACTCTCTCACTCACTCACTCACCCGGGGTAGAATCGGTCTTCAGCAACCCATGCAAATCAATCACTCAATTGTCTGGTCCAGACTTGCTTATTCACAAAAGTCGTCATACAGCTGGAATATTGCTGAGTGCGATGTTAAACAGTAAACAAACAAACAACAACAATTAGAACTGTCGTGGTGTGGGTATACAACAGAAGTTCTACAACCAATACATATAGTCAGTACTTACAAACAACCCTCCTCCGACGTCTGATTAACAGAGCCACGACGACAACGACGATGGCGACGATGACGACTACCACAGTCACACACACAGCAATTGCAATGACATATTTTCTATCCATGTTTCCGTTTTGTTCCAGTGAGAGAGTCACCGTCTGTAAATGTTACAAAACATTTAACATATGCATTATGTACCGTTACGCAATGGTCAACATACACAATGACACCACGCTGGTGTCGTCCACCAGATATACACAAACTACCTGCCTAACATAGTGTTGATACGTGGGACTGTATGTTCCCCAGTGCAGTATTACAAATCTACGGTGACCCATACTCGCCACTGGTGAGATCATTTTTCACTGTATGCCTCTATATTTGATCTGGCGGCCGCCAAATACTTTTCTGACGGCCGCCAGATACTTCAACTGGTGAGATCATTTTCCCCTATAAACCTCTGTATTTGATCTCACCAGTGAAACTATTTGGCGACCGCCAGATAAAATATAGAGGCATACAGTGAAAAATGATCTCACCAGTGGCGGGTATGGGCCACCGTACAAATCGCACCTTGGTGTCTACCCGGAAGAAGTTGCCGGTAATTTCCTCGTGGCTTGGCAGAATACCTTCACACTCATGTTAAGTTGGTTGGTTTGTTGTTTAACCTCGCTATTCCAGCTATATGACGGCGGTCTGTAAATAATCGAGTCTGGACCAGAAAACAAAGTGATTAATATCATGAGCATCGATCCACGCAATTGGGATCGCTGACATGCATCAACCAAGTGAGCGAGCCTGACCACCCGATCCCTTTAGTCGCCTTTTACGACAAGCATAGTCCCCTTTTACGGCAAGACCTGAAGACCTATTCTACCCCATTATTTGGATGAGTGAATTAATGTATTATGGATGTACTGAGGATGTATTAAACCTTATCCCGCATCATTGCAGGGAAACAAAGACACGGTTAGCACACTCAACTGACAAAACTGTGCATAGCATCGCGAAAACTCAAATCATTGGTGTTTTACTTATATAAATATATATTTTCTCCTTGGCTTCCCATTGATATGAAATTAGTGATATGTGTTAAGATAGAGATAGTCTCCTCTGAAACGAGTTGTAGAAGAGATTGTGACGTCACTTTTGAAACTAGCTGTAGAAGAGATTGTGACGTCACTTCTGAAACTATCTGTGGCGGCGAATAGGTCCAGGGTGGTATCATACTAGAATGGAGATATATACCCTGGACAATCGAGGTTGCAAATGACGGAAACGGTTCGATAAATATAATCGATAAATGTCAAATGGTAAAACGCCATTAGGTCGATATTGATCATATTGTTGTTCATTACTCTCGGGGCTGTTGGGTGGCCTAGTGGTTGAAGCGTTCGCTCATCAAGCCGAAGACCCGGGTTCGATTCCCCACATGGGTACAATGTGTGAAGCGTAAACCAATACTCACTCACTCGTCACACTCACTTTTGCATAGAACATGGTCAGCAGGACCTGTTGTTGTGTGTCGACCAACGTGCATAGAAATACAAGGGTCACAACCAGGTCCATAGTCACAGGAAACTCTGGTAAAAAGTACCGTGTGCAACGCGTTGATTAATGCGTAGTTCCCGGGCTGTGTATCGATTTAATCATGTATAGCAAATATGTTGGGAAAAGGTTGTAACAAATGATTAATGATATGTGCTATCATTCCACAGTTGTATACCCACACCATGACGGTTCTAATTGTTGTTGTTTGTTTGTTTACTGTTTAACATCGCACTCAGCAATATTCCAGCTGTATGACGACTTTCTGTGAATAAGCAAGTCTGGACCAGACAATCGAGTGATTGATTTGCATGGGTTGCTGAAGACCGATTCTACTCCGGGTGAGTGAGTGAGTGAGTGAGTGAGTTGGTGAGTAAGTTGGTGAGTAAGTGAGTGAGTGAATTGGTGGATGAGTTGTCGGGTGTGGATGTGAGTGAGTGAGTGAGTGTGTGGGTGGGTGAGTGAGTGGATAGGTGGGTAGGGATGTGGGTGAGTGAGTGAGTGAGTGAGTTGGTGAGTTAGTTGGTGAGTTAGTTGGTGAGTGAGTGAGTTAGTTGGTGAGTGAATGAGTGAGTGAATTGGTGGATGAGTGGGTAGTTAAGGTTTTGGTGAGTGAGTGAGTGAGTGAGTGAACTGGTGGATGAGTGGGTGGGTAGGGATGTGAGTGAGTGAATTGGTGAGTGAGTTGGTGAGTGAGTGAGTGAGTGAGTGAGTTGGTTGATGAGTGGGTTGTTAGGGACAAAAACCTAATATTTTTTGTTGTTTAACTCTTCTTGGGACTAGAAATAGGTTTCTTGAATAACACTCATGTTCACATTCTTCTTTATAGACCATGGATGTTTTATATCAGTGAGATAGATTGATATTAATGCTACGACTACAAAATTGAAAATAATCAGTCGGGTTTCTGTTACGCATCTCTGGAACATAATTAGCGACAGCTATCTGATTGGCAGGAAGAGATAGAGGGAAAATGATATGAGTCAACATAGGGAATTGCATCTGAAACCATTTTTGTCACTGATGCGTCAGCACGTGGAGATGTCCTACCATGAAACTTCACTGAGGCCTTGAATGTTGTTACCCTGCTCAAACAACACGGAATGCGCGTCATCGGGGATCCAATGCTAAAAATATTCAGTTAAATCCTCAGTACTCTTGTTTGGAATTGAATAATAAAATAAATTATTTATTTATAGATAACTCTTGCTCCTAAATAAACACCTGGGGCTGACTCATAGATTTTCATGGGTGGAGTGAGTGAGCAACTGTTTTGAACAATATTCCAGTAATATCACGGCGTATCAGTCACTTGTTTGTTTGTTTGTTTAACGTCGCACTCAGCAAGTATATGACGGCGGTCTGTAAATAGTCGAGTCTGGACCAGACAATCCTGTGATTGTTATCAGGGTGATCCACGCAATTCGGATCGATGACATTCATCACCCAAGTCAGCGAGCCTGACCATCCAATCCCGTCAGTCGCCTTTTACGACAAGTAAGTCACGGGTGGCTGTCATGTGCACACGACAATGTGTATTTCCTCTTCTATAGTGATGAAGTATTCTCAACCTTACACCGGGTTAATACAAAACAAAACAATCATTATTCTTACCTGTCTGTACACTATACCTACACGGGGTTCCCCTTGTCAGTCAACAAGACGGTCGTACACGTCGTGTGGAACATCGGGTATGTGTGTACAGGTCTTTTTGATATTTTATAACACTCATCAAGGGCCCAGTTCTGTAGTTCGGCGGCCCTTAAGAAGAATAATCAATATCGAAATGCGACAGGAACTCCACCGGCAACAAGGAAGTAAAAGGGGAATATCAGACAGTGACGTCATTGAATCAGTCGCCGGTTCATTGTGTGTGCGACCATAACTGGGTGAACTCTATAGTGTGGGGTAATCATGTGCACGGCGCCACGTCTCACTTTCCCCACTATACCACGTCAACACGTCTCACTTTACCCGTTATAACACCTCGCCCAGTCTCACATTTCCCGACTATAACTCGTTGACAGGCCTCACTCCCACCCCCCCCCCCCCCCCCCCACCCACCCACACCCACACCCACACAAAAGCACGTCGCCACGTCTCACTTTCCCAACTATACACCTCGCCCAGTCTCACTTTCCCAACTGTAACACCTCGCCCAGTCCCACTGTCCCCACTATAACACCTCGCCCGCGCCAAGTCTCACTGTCCCCTCCATAACACCTCGCCAAGTCTCACTTTCCCAACTAAAGCACGTCGCCACGTCTCACTTTCCCCACTATAGCACGTCGCTCGGTCTCACCTTCCCCACTAAAGCACGTCGCCACGTCTCACCTTCCCCACTATAGCACGTCGCCACGTCTCACTTTCCCCAAATATTGCACGTCGCCACGTCTCACTTTCCCCAAATATTGCACGTCGCTACGTCTCACTTTCCCTTCTATAGCACGCCGCCACGTCTCACTTTCCCCACTATAGCACGTCACCTCGTCTCACCTTCCCCACTATAGCACCTCGCTGAGTCTCACCTTCCCCACTATAGCACGTCGCCACGTCTCACCTTCCTAAATTTGGGCACCTCGCTCAGTCTCACCTTCCCCACTATAGCACCCCTCTCAGTCTCACATTCCCCACTATAACACGTCGCCACGTCTCATCTTTCCAAATTTGGGCACCTCGCTCAGTCTCACATTCCTCAGTATAGCACGTCGCCACGTCTCACATTCCCCAGTATAGCACGTCGCCACGTCTCACATTTCCCACTTTAGCACGTCGCCACCATCCGATCTTTCCTTCTGTAGTACTATCTCACCCAGTCTAACCTTCCGCATCGTAGGCTCACCTTCCCCCTTTTAGCAGATCATCCGTCTTTTCACTCCCAAAACTGCGTGTCGCCTTCTCTCTATATCATGTCCACCGTCACATCCTTCCCTTATGTTAACAATAATAGTATTGCATGTCAAATGTTCAATCTTTCCTACATATCATATCACTTTAATACTGTTTCCTGTCTATAAACTCAACAGCAGTGTTGCCCTTTAGACAACAGCAGTGTCTTCCGTCAAACAACAACAGTACTAGTGTATGTCTTTAGACAACAGTACTAATGTATGACTTTAGACAATAGAAATGTATTCCTTTAGAAAACAGCAGTGTACGTACCTTTAGACAACAGCAGTGTATTCCTTAAGGACAACAGCAGTGTATTACTTTAGACCACAGCAGTGTGTTCCTTTAGACAACAGCAGTGTATTCCGTTAAACAACAACAGTACTAGTGTATGTCTTTAGACAACAGTACTAATGTATGACTTTAGACAATAGAAATGTATTCCTTTAGAACACAGCAGTGTGTTACTTTAGAAAACAGCAGTGTACGTACCTTTAGACAACAGCAGTGTATTACTTTAGACAACAGCAGTGTGTTCCTTTAGACAACAGCAGTGTGTTTCGTCAGACAACAGCAGTGTGTTCCTTTGCACATCCAAAGTGTATGCCTTTAGGGGGCGGTCGGGTAGCCTAGTGGTTAAAGCGTTCGCTCGTCACGCCGAAGACCCGGGTTCGATTCCCGACATGGGTACAATGTGTGAAGCCCATTTCTGGTGTCCCCCGCCGTGATATTGCTGGAATATTGCTAAAAGCGGCGTAAAACCATACTCAGTCAGTCAGTCAGTATGCCTTTAGGCAACCAGCGACGTTTGGTTCTG